CTCTCTCTCAAATAAATAAATAAATAAAATCTTTAAAAAAAAAAAAAGAATATCAGATGTGGGTTCTGGTTCTGCTACTAGGTATCATTGTGATTTTTTTTTTTTTTTTTTGGCAAGCTCAATTTTCTTCAAGTCCCCTTCCCTACCTACTTTACAAGGTCACATGAGCTACAACAAGTGCAACATTTAGAAATTAAATCCACCTAACACATGTAAGGCTTTATTACGATTATCTCTGACATCTTCTGGCCCGCAGCTGCAAAGAAGACATCATATTGACAGCACTCTTGGTCCTGGAGAGATGAGTGTGGGTGACAGCGCTCAGTCTGAGTGGGTGTCCTTCCCTTCTAAAATCAGATATAAATGATTGGGGATTATCTGCTGTTTCAGATCATATTTACTTCTAAGCCTGCCACTGAGAAAAATTAATTGACAATATTTAGCTCTTTTTTGTTTTGTTTCCCTGAGTCAGATGCGAAGTGTTTCTTCCCACTTTCTCCCTCTTTCCACGTTGAGGGTTTCCCAATGGCAAAGATTATTCCTTTTTTCTGCCATGGAGCTCTCTGAGGATAAGAACATGGGTTGAACATGTTCTTAGAACATGTTCAAGAACATGTACAACCCACAGTCCAACCTGAATGGGAAATCTCTAGAAATGGGAACCATGTCTTCAGGCGCTGGCCTCAAGCCTCAGGTGCAATTACTCAAACACAGGGGTGAGACCCAAGGGATTGAAGCATTCAGTCAATGCTAAAACTAGGTTAAGATGTCACCATTACTTTCTAATAACTGATTTCCTTGGGTGGATGAAGTAGACAATGGGACTTCTGCAGTGATAAAGAACTCAGAGGGACGAAGGGCCGACAGATCCAAATTTGTATGCTGATTTTGCCACTTACTTGCTCTGTCACTGCCCGATTTACCACCCAATCTGGGCCACGTTTCTTCGTCTGTGCCAAAGGGGAATAATAAAACAACGCATCTTCTCGGCTTGTTGAGAGGATTAAATGAGATATACGAAAAGCCTTACCCCAGACTCTGGCATATAAGTGCTCATTAAAAAGTGGATGTGGAGAATCCTAGGGACACTGTATGAGTTTCGTGGAGACCTGCAGCTGGAGACCAAGAAGCGGCAAAGCCGGACCGAGCAGTCAGGTCTCCCGGCTAAGGATCAGTGCTCCGCACACCACAACCCACCGCCTCTCAAGAGGCCTCGAACTCCTGACGACCAAGTGCCGCCTAGAGTCCCCAGGGAGGAAAGGCGGCCAGGAGCCAACCTGGCTTCTTACAGCAAAGGCTCTCCAAGAAGGCCTGACGTATTCGGGGTCCCGGTGGGTAGCACCCGCAGGCCTCAGGCCTCATTACTTACCCGGATATGGTAACGGTCCTTAACGGCAGCCAATAACGGCTCACCTGTGGCCGAGGCACTGACAAGGGCAGGCTGAGGTCAAACCTTGGCTTTTGGCGCTTCATCCCGAAACCCTAAGCAAGCATCGAACTACAATTCCCAGCATGCCACGCGGCCGCCCGGTCGCGGAGCGTCGGCCCCGCCAACCCTGGGGCCCTTCTTTTCTCAAAACGCGGCTGAACGCCCAGTACTTCCGGGTAGTGCGGCTCCCCCCCATCCAGGACAGCCTCCCTTTATGATTTCTGGGTATTGTAGTCCACATTCTTCCAGTTTCGCGAGAATCAGCTGTTCTTAACCACGGCTCCCTTCGACACGAAAACTACAAAACCCAGACTATATCGCAAGTTCCTCTCGTCCAATAGGAACGCCCCATGTAGCGAGGCGCGGAGGCCGGCTCTCGCAACTCAAGATGGCGGACGAGAGTGAGACAGCAGTGAAGCCGCCGGCACCTCCGCTGCCGCAGATGATGGAAGGGAATGGAAACGGCCATGAGCACTGCAGCGATTGCGAGAACGAGGAGGAAAACAGCTACAGCCGGGGGTAACGATGTCCTCGGAGTCCAATGCCCGTCCAGTCTCCCACAACCTGGGTCTCTGGGGTGCGGGGAAGTCACCGGGAGCTTAGGGTAACCCCACCCCCATATTCTAATTGGCTGAGACATTGGGATCCTGCCTGGCGATTGGTTGCTGTCTTTGTCATTTAGCAGGGTGGGTGCTCAGTATATTAAGGGCCGGAGACATTCAGTACTTTTATTATATAAAAGTTCTTCTGTGTAATGTTCCACTCGTGTGCTTCACTCGCGTTCAGGGGAGAGAGCATGTTGGACGATGGTTTTCGATGGCACAACACGGGTCAATGTAACAGTACAATTCAAAGGGAACGTTACTTACAGAGGTGTGTGAACAACGTGATTAGCAATAAATGAATAATAAAACATTTCGCTGCAGCTCACTTTCAATGAGGAAATATATCAGGTTGTACAAACCATAATTATGTTGTAAAATATCACTAACAGGAGAATCTCAAAATACAAACTTACCTTATAAACCCTACAGTGTAATTACTGTATGATAATGTTTTGGCGTATACAGTGCCCGTTGTTCCAGATAAGCTCTAAGTTTCCTGAACAGTATATAATTAGGTCTTCCAGGATCTTTGTTTACTTTGTGAAATAGCCTCAAAGCTTCAAGAAATTGAGTGATGGTGCAGCTTGGACAGGGATTGGAAGTGGGCTTAATACTGCATCTCTGTACTTCTCTTGCCTGCTAGTAATTGTTTGTTACTTGGGCAGAAGAAATTCATCAGGCGTTTCAGTGTTGAGTTCTGTTTCCAAATCAGTTTTCATTCTTGTAAGCCACACCCTGTCATTCTTCTTTCTTCATATTGTTACAGTAACTGGTGCTGAAGCTCTGTCCCTGTCTATATTTCCGAGTATGTTTTTTAACGGAACGTTATGAGAGACTTTTTGACGTATACCTTTGGGTGAGTCTGTGGTGGTCTGATTTTGTGCGCGCGCGTGTGTGTATGTGTGGTAGTCCCATTTTCATAGCCATGAAGTCATTTGCAGTATTAGCAGTAGCCTGTAGGTAAAGGTAAAAGGTTGCAATCTCTGGATAAACTTTAAAAAAAAAATCCACTGCCTTGTAAAGATGGAAGAACAAAGGATTAATTAAGTAGTTTATAATCTGCTTGTGATGAATCCTTAGGTTAAAAGATCTAGCTTTTATGTTCTTTGACCAGCATTAAAAAAAAAAATCACAAGAACAATGTAAAGAAAAAGGAAGTTTGTCAGATCTGGTTTTATAAGAGTGTGTGTTCTTTTGCTATAACTCACAATAGATCTCATGTAACAAAAGCCTTGAAGTTGGAGATTCCTAAGAAAGGAAGAGCTTTTAAAGAGGAAATAGGAACAGGAAGAAGGGAAAGTGCAGCCCTCCTGAGTACAAATCCTAATTATAGATGAGAGCTGTTGAATTCAAAAGTCATTTCAGAAGTGAAAGTAAGGCTTTTTCTTTGCTCTGTGTGTAGTTGCTTTTGTTTTTCTCTGCTAAACTGTTGCCCTGACCAGTGTCTATAGCTCTTTAATTGATTTTATTTCCTATGATCTGTGAATCACTTTGCAAAACTATTTGGCAGAAAGGTCTGTGTTTATAGTACAACAAAATGATAAGCTTAAAAAAATTTTGTTTTGTTGTTATTGTTGTTGTGCATGGTTATATATGGTCTGGGTGAACAAATTTATTAGCATCCCAAATCTAGAGGTCTGTATAAATGAGTTTGGAGGTGGCAGGTGAAAAACAGAGGACCTAGCTTGGAGGACAGGCTACTCCGGGCACTCAATCTGAAGTGGAGTTAATATTTTCCCATTAATTGTCAGAGGAAATGATTTTGGAAGAGGCAGTGTGGCACGGAAAGAGCACGGATTTTGGGGTTCAAAGCCTGGTTCTGACAGTTGTCCTATAACCTTGGGAAAGTTACTTACCCTCCATTTGTAGGGATTAAATGAGATAACATCGGGAATACAGCCTGGCCCCTTCCTCCTGTTCTTCCTTCACATCTTCCCTGTCCTCCTTTCCTCAGCTTGTGCTCTTATCACATACCTCGTTTTTTGTAGCTTTTATAACAGTAGTTAAATAATGTGTGTCCAGTCCCTGCCTCACCTGATTGTAAGGTGCCTGAATAGAGGGACCATGTCTTCGAGATGCCTGGCACTTAATGGGCATTAGTGAGTATTTGCTGGATGAACAAATGGCAAATGTTAAAATTCAGAGTTCAGTGTCGGTGGAGTTTCTCCTCACTGAGGGGAAGAGTGTCAGATTTTTCTTACAAACACAGTTTCTTACCCCAAGTCAGTCTCATTGTGAGCCTTACTGCAGTTTCCTGTGAAATACCTACAGAAATCGGGGATCCTCCAATTTGTCCTGGAAGTTTTCCACTGTTTTTTTGGCTTCTTGAAATTTTCTTATTATTACTTAAAATGTTTTCAAAAGTGATGTAAGAATTGAAGGGGAGCATCTCCTTTTGATGCTAATGAGTCTAAAGTACAATATGCAACAAAAGTTAATGATAGTTCAAACTAACCCTTATTCTCTTAGGCCTTCCTCTCAAGATGGGCTCACAGTACTTTACACTAATGAAAGAACCATAATTAAATAAACATTTGATGAGTATAGATTTCACATATACATTGAAACACACATATATGTGCACATGCATACATGCAGTGTATGTATATGTTTTATTTTGTGTGTGTGTATTTTTTATGTATCTCTACAGTTTTTCTGTACACTTTTTTTTTTTTTAAATCTACTCAACAAAGGCAGGCAGCATTTTCCCCCCAGTTACTCGCCTGAGATAAGTTACCCTGAGCAACTGAGAGAAGAGTCAGACTACAATAATTTTTTTTTCCAGGTATAATTTATTTGGGAGAATGTGTGTGCATGCATGGGTGCACACAGGAATTAGGGGAGAAGCAGAGAGAGAATTCCAAGCAGACTCCCTACTGAGTGCAGAGCCCCACTTGGGGCTCGAAACCAGGACCCATGAGATCATGACCTGAGCTGAAACCAAGAGTGGGACGTTCAACCTACTGAACCACCCAGGCACCCCCAGACTAAGATCGTCTTAATGCTGTATCCCCATGCAGTTCACCATTCATCTGTATGCTTTAATTTGCTTTTTGTTTTTAGTGAAAGGCTTTCCAAGAATTGTTACTAAAGGATAAACCTTATTAGCTGGCAGTAGTAGACTTTAGTTTTGGGTTAACAAACAAGTAAAGTTTATTTGAATGATTGGAACAGGAAAGGACTTTTATATTATTTTGTTCCTAGGATTCTTTTAGAGTTTATTTTGCAATGTCATTGATACCACTGAGATGCAGGTAAGCCATCCTTTTGATAAGGATGTCTCTTTCCCATCCTGCTTTCTTACTCCATGGGGACAGGTTAAGAGGAGTTCTTGTAAGTTTTCCTCACTAGTCCTGAGCTGTTATCTCTTATGAAAAAACTTAAGAGAAAACAAAGGGCTTTTTGAAAGGAAATTCCGTAAAGCCAGCCTTACTTGCTCTTGTTTTATTCTTCAGATTCTCCGAGAGTGGTTCTTTCCATATTTAGTTGATGGCTTATAGCTACATCTAGCTCTTGGAAAGAAGAAATCTTTTTCGTCCCTTTTTCTTAATTTCTCCCTTCAGCTTTTGGTTTTTCAAAACTAGATCGAAGCAGAAATGAAAAGAGAAACCTCATCACTGATATCAAATAAGTGTTCTAATTTTATTTCCCAATTAAGTTGCAATTAAAAAAGAAACTAATCAAGAGCTGCTTCAGAGAGGAGACTGGAAAGCAGAAGGAATGAAAAGCAAATGAGAGCCTATTTCAGGGAGACTGCTGCTCATGGCACACCAGTTTTGCTGATTTTTCACATTGTTTAACTAATGTGCTCACTCTAAAATTTCCCAGCTTTACCAAGTCTGCGCTTAACCCTTTGCCTGCGGAGTTCCTAGATTTGGGGACCGTAGATTTAGTAACTTTAGGAGGAGCTTCTTCAGCTCTTCTCTGTAACTTTGTCTGAAATCTCTACCCTGCAAGCCTCTCTTCTGATTCCTGAAGGAAGGTGCTCTAGGGATTGTTGCATTTAAGGCACACAAAACATGGTGTTCTCTTTTGAGAGCACCAAAACAAACAAACAAACAAACAAACTTAAACTAAAATTCTTTGACAGGGTCAGTACTTGCTTAGAAATTTTTTCTACTGCTGCTGACTTTTGAGAGGCAGCTGAGGGGGTTACACTGTTGTCAAGCGTTTGATAAATGTTATCTGTTGTTATTATTACTATGTGCTGGCCACTGTGCTAAGCCCTTTCCATGGATTATCTCCTAGACTTCACTTAAAAAGACTGATTTATCTTTGGTAGTGAGGCTTGGGATTTTCGTCTCTACCTCTTCCTTTGACACCTTGAAGGATCCATTCCGAACTTGCTGGATTTCTTTTCCCTACTGCCTTGATTTCTGCCTCCTGACTCTGCAGCAGTGTTGAGTCCTGTCTTTGGATCCATTCAGTAACCCGTGAACTTTCCCAGACTAGGGAGCCAGTTGGTGATGGAGATGGCTGACCCCTTTAAACTCTTCTGAATGGACAAGTATCTTTTGCAGAGGTCATTCTAGTGTGTGAAATTTCTGCCAGCAGTGAGTTGTTGCTCAGAAAATTACTGAAAATGGTCTCTGAACAGCATTTGATTTGACCTTGGAGTTGCCAGGTTACAGCGTGGCTCACCAAAGCAACCCAGAGGATGTGGAATTTACATTTCTGTCTCAGTCCCATTCTAAACAGTTTAGTATATCAGAGCTTTTGTGACCCCTAAAAAAAAAAACCCAGTTATTCTCCATGACAGGAACTGGGTTGTTCACCCTCAAAATTCTGGCCAACTGTCCCGGGACGGGCAGGGGGTGGCAGTAAAAGCAGGTTTTATAATCCCTTCCCACAACCTGCTGTTCTTTTCATAGGCCGTCTGGGTTACCTTGATGGCAGTACTAAAGTGGTTTTGTG